GCAAACCAGTTCCCAAAAGGGGTCAGGCCAGTCGGGATGCTGCATCACGCCAGGAAAACTCCCTACTTTCCTTCCAGGCTGGGTCTCCTCTGAGTCCTGCAGCATCGCTGCTGCATGCTCGGTTCACGGGTCACCCACCAGGCAGCAGCAGGATTTGGGAAAAAAAACTCCGTTTCTGGAAAAACTCCCATTTGCCTGTGGAAATTTTAGCAGGGAGCCCCAAAGTCGAGCTCCGGAGCGAGCCAGGATGATGCTCGTGGGCTCCCTGTGCTCTGCAGTGCTGCCGGGACACAAGCCACCTTGGGAAGGACAGGGAAACAGGACCCGGCTCCAAACAAGGCTGGTGCCAACCTGACTGCCCAGGAAGGGAGAGCCCTGAAACAACAGAGTTACTTGATAATAAATCAAAGCAAACAGAGGGAAGTGAATGGGAAGGATTGGGGACTTTCTGGGCCCTGATTATTATTCTGTCGCAATTTCCTTATGAGCCAGGCAGCCTTTTCCCAGAACAGCCCCGTTTGCGCTGCCCGGCAGGAACACTTCTCTTTTGTTGCTAAACCCTAGAAAAGTGAAAGAGGGAAGAAAAAAGAACTTGAAACTTTGGCAAGCGGCGGAAATGCCCGTTCCAGCCCGCCTGGCAGAGCAGCCCGTGCCCGGCCGAGCGCGGCTGCTCCGAGGGGGAGCAGACGGCTGGACTTGGTGCAGTCCCAGAGCATCTTCCTCCTCCTCCTCCTCCTCCCTTATAGCTGGCACGAGCAGGTGGCACCGCAGGGGGATTGTCCCCACACTGTCCCCAGGCCACGCGCTGCCCGTGCTGCCCATGGCCTGGCACGCGCTGGGGCTGCCAGGATTCTGGGGCACTTTGCTCCCCCTGGGTGCTCCCATCACCTGCATCTCCCCCTCCTCGGCACCCGGCCTCTTCCCACTGGGAGGAGCATTGTCCGGGATGGGACGTGCGGGAAGAGTGGGCAGCTGTGGACTGGGCGCCCTGGGGCTAGAACTGGGGTTTCTGCAGCGTCCCTGAACATCAAGTACCAACTCCAGAAACTATTTGGTAACCGCAGGGCCCTCGTCCCTCAATAATGCTGCCCCTGCCATGTCCTGCCACCCTCCCCAGGGCCAAACCCTGCAGCCTTCCTCCACTCCCTCCTCCTCCTCTGAGCCCTGCAGGTAGCAGCTCTGCAGAGCCAAGAGGCGCAGCTGGAGCTATGGGATGGGCGTTGGGTTAATGCAACCCCTCTTGCCCCCGGAGCAGGACCAAAGCGGTGCTTGGGGCAGAGCCCTCACCCCAGCCCCACATGCAGTGGCCTCGTTCTGCTGCTGACCGCAGCACCCGCACCAGGGTCCAGCTTTTCCTCGCTGAACATTGGCCAGACAACATTGCCCCAGCCAGACAGTCTCCTCCTCGGCTCCAGGGTCATGCAGGGAAGTGTCCAAAGACCATGGATTAAAGAAAAAAACAGGCTAGCGCTGGGAGCAGCCCCCTCCCGCAGCAAGGAAACATGAGCTCCATGAAACCACCTTCTTCCAACATTATTTATCCACAAAAAACCTTTATTGGGGATAAAATCAGAAATAAATAAGTGTCCATAGAAAATGAGTGATTAAAGAAAAAAAAAGAATCGCAGTTAAGGGTACAAAAATCTCACTAAGTGGTTAGTGCCCCGTGCTCTCCCATACCCTCGCCATTCCCTCTCCTTGCCCCTGGTGGCCTCCCCATCCTCAGCAAGTCCCCTCCAGTGCCACCAAGCAGGGCCACGGGGGCTGTGGTCACCTCTGCCCGCTCCCATCAGTAGGGGTACGGCGAGACGGAGATGAGGATGACGAAGCTGCTGCGCGGGCGCCGCGCGCCGAGCGGCAGGGCCTGCACGTGCAGGCGGTGGGTGCCGGGCGCGCGGAG